TTTCCCATCTTCCATTTCCATTAGGAAATATGTGACATTTCTAGAGGTCTCCAGATTCTGCAGCTGTCTTTCCAAATCTGACCTCTTCCAGGTGTCTTCCCAGCCAGTCGGATAATTTAGGGAATCTGCTGACAAAGCTATTCTTTCTTGAGACTCCACCCACCACCACAAACCACACTTGTATGTTATTCTTCCCCTCCTAAAGTCTATGATCAGATTGCATTTCAAAATTAACTGGAATAACTCGGATTGATTTGCAAGGCTAGGTTTATTCACCCTTACACTGTAAGAATACGCAATACCAGTTTGCTTCATTACCTTGTTTGTTTGCTGCTTGTCCCTGAAGTTGTTCTGAGTTTATTTGAAATTTTTGTTACTCATGGTACTGTTGTCTTCATTTGATAGCAATAAAGATCTGATGTTTTCTGAATGCTAGTTTTAACAGAACAGATACTTAACCTCTTTCAAAAGATAATGTATCTCATTACCTAGACAAATGCACTGCAGCATGTAAACAGCTATTTATCTTAATTGGTGGTAATGCAGAAAGCAGGAAGGTTAACTATAACATTGCAAGCACACTGTGATGTTTGCAGGCTGCAGGGATTGAGCTGCTGGTGCCAGCAACATGCCACTGAAATTTTAGAATAACAGTGTTCCTGTCCATATAATAGATGTGGTGTTGCATACTAAGCATTTCAGCCTTCTGAACCAATCTTCAGACCTCCACGTGTTGTGAAATTAAATTAAATTGATTGTAATAGCGAGGTAATTCATAATTAAACAGAACCCAAGTTAAATAACTAGAGCAGCAATGTCTTCTCTCAGATTTTTTTCTATCCTATACACATACCAATATTAAAACAATGTTGTGGTAGGCACATCATCACACTGAGCTGTACACACTGTCAACGCTTCATATATGTGGCCCTACAGATGTTGCTCAACTATAACTCCCAGGAGTCTTAGCCAACTTGACCAATGCTTTTGAGGTGATCCAATTATATATCTATGCTGAGATGTAGATATAGAGAGAAGGGCTTAAAATGTGTGAATTCTTTTGAATTTTTAACATCTTAGCATAAACATGACCTTAAAACATGATCTATTCTCCACACGAGTCCTAGCTCATAATTTATATGCCACTGGATTCTCATTCTTTCCCCATTCACTAGATCAGGTAGTTTCAGTTTATTCAGGCTGCAAAAC